TGTTTCTTGAGCCTCTGGGTCTGGGCCTCGAGTCATGGAGTCAGCCATGTGGGATCTGGTTTCCTCTACCACCAGGTCGTGGAGCTGCCCATGACTATGACTTTAATTCTAAGTGTGAACTCCTGGTTATGCCTGGGCTGCTTGCTTGCTTGCTTGCTTGCTTGCTTTCTTTCTTTCTTTTTTTTTTTTTAAAGAATTACTTTATTTGACTCTATTCATTTTATGTATTTATTTTAATTTGACCAGAGAGGGACAGAGTGAGAGAGAGAGAGAAAGTGAGAAAGGAAGCTGCCAGGTCCAGGACTTGAACCACGGTTGGCCATGTGGGAGTACAACACCCTTAATCACCACGCCACCTGCTGGCCCCTGGGCTGCATTCTTCAGGCTGGAAGTGCAGTATATTGCCAATATGCGTCTCAGCGATGTGCATTTGCAGCACATGAGAATGTACCTTTCCCCTTTGCTGATGTCAGGTACTATCCATATTTGCCATGAGAAAGGTGAAGGTGTTATCTTGATACTATCATAACTTGTACTTCTTTGCGTCTTAGTGGATTTGAACTTGTACATGTTTCTCAGCACAGAAAATCATCTGGCGTGTATAAGAAAAGGGGTATGTCCTTTAATAAAATGAAACTCAAGTCTTCTCAGTTAGCAACAAAGAGAAAAAGAACTCCTTGTAAATTTCTCTGCAGACCTTATAATCCCAAATATGACCCCACAAAACTCCCTCTTACCTGAATGGCTAAATACAGTTACCACCCTCTTGAACAACGGGCCCAACTGGGCCAGCCCATGGCCTGGTGATTGGGGCACTGGATTCCAGATGGCTGATGGTGCTGTTTTGAGTCCTGGACCCAGTGGTTTGCAGGGAGGCTGGGTGCATGTGTGTGCATGCTCAGAATCCCAAGAGAAGAATGGAGAAGGGATTGTGTGTGACCATTCCTCTTGGGGGGTGCTTTCTCTACAAGCACATGCATCTTGTAGCAAATTAAAAAAACAAAACAAAACAGAAAAAAACCAATGGACCCAATTATAGGGATTCTGAATTGCAGCATGCCTATGACCTGGATGAAACATTTAAATTTTTTCATTTTGTTCAGAGAGTAACCCCAAACTAGATAAGCTGTTTTATCTGATATTTCGGCTTTCTATCTGTTGTTTCATAACAAACAACCCAAAATCCAATGGTTAGATCAACAAGTATTTATTATCTATCTCTCATGGTTTTAGTGCGGGTTAACTAGACCCACGTGGGGTTGGCAGGGGCTGTTGTCATCTGACGGCTCAACCGGGCTGAAGTATTCAAGATGGCCCACTCCCGTGGCAGGCAGCTGGTTATGGCTGCTGGCTGGCAGTTCAGCTGGGGCTGTCACCCGAAGCCCTTGGTTGTTCTCCATGTGGCTTCTCCAGGTAGCTCGGATTGGAAGAGGGAGAACAGCAAGCATGCCACTACCTGACAGAAGTCGGCATTCTTCTACCATGGGCTACCGGCAACAGCTCAAAGTTCAGACCCCAGAGAGCGAGGGGATGAAAAAGTAAGGTCCCTTCCTATCAGCTTGACGTTAACCTCCTGATGTGTCATTTCCGGTTTGAACTGCCACCTCCATCCAGATGACAGAAATGCTAACCTACCACTTTCAGGGACCTCTCAGAGACCTCAACCAGTAAGCAGTTCAGAACTTAGCTGGTGGGTGTTGACAGTCACTCCACGGTATGCATTTATATGGACTGCCGAGGTGGGATGCGGTGATGGTGCATTTCAATGCAGACTGACGGGTCTGTTATAGTCTCGTAAGAGAACATTGCAGGGCCAGCAGGTGGCGTGGAGTTAAGGTGCTGAACTCCCACACGGCCGGCTGAGTAGTTCGAGTCCCAGACCTGGAGGCTGGAGAATCATGCCTGGCATATGTGCATACACACCCCGAATCCCGAAGAGATGGAATTGTAGTGTGGCCGTCCCTTCTGCAGGGTGATTTCTCACTTGCCCTCTCTCTAGTGAGTGCACATGCCCTATAGCAAATATTAAAATAGAAGAAAAAGAGAGAACACTGCAAATGGGCTACCTACTTACAAGTCACTTAAGAACAAAAACAGAGATGAGAAACCAGAAAGCCAAAACAATCAACCTAGTCTCTGTCCCCTATCAACGACACTATTGCATTGATATTTTGTCTTAGAAGGTACGCTTTGGGGCCAGCCCTATAGCCCAGTGGTTAAGCACTATGCTTTGGGAGCTGGATGATTGACTGTGGTTTGAATACTGGCCCTGGTGGCTTCAGGCTCTTGACAGGATGGAGACATGAAAGAAAAAAGGATTGTGCTGTCCCTAGGTGTCATTATGGGGGTGCCTTCTCTATTTCTCTTTTTCTCTGGCATGCACAAATACCCTCTGACATTTAAAAAAAAGGTACGCGCTGGGTAGCATACTTATTGATAACGAAGCTGTCCTTTTCAAAGTGTCTACCTTTGTGTGACATATTCAAGGGAAAAAATGATTTTAAAATGTTCGAAATGCAGTAAAGCTGGTGTGGATCATTTTTAACTTAAACAATTCCATGAACTTCTATGCTAAAATTTTGAGTTTCTACCTGTGTATAGGCAATTGCTTTTTTTTTTTTTTTTTTTTTTAAGAATTAGCTTATTTGATTTAATTTGTTATTATTAGTTTTAAACTTGACCAAAGAAAGACAGAAAGAGAGAGAGGGAAGGAAAGTGAGAAAGTAAGCTGCCAGGCACGGGACTTGAACCACAGTTGGCCCTATGGGAGTCCAATGCCTTAATCACCACACCATAGGCAGTGATTTTTTTTTTTCTTTAAATTGGAATTTTTTTCTAATACTCAATAAAAATGTCATTAAGGCCCGTCATGGTGGTGCACCTGTCGGACACTACTGCCTGAGCCTGGGGCTGCATGGGAGACCAGGTTTGGGTCTCAGCCACCTGGACAGGCTGGGTCAACAGTGTGTGCCTACAGTCCTGGCGGACTGGAAAGGTGGGACAGAGGATCAGATGGTGAGACCCTGTGTGTGGGGAGGCTCAAAAAAAAACACCTACTTCTCTCCTCCACCTCTCTCATTAAAAAACAAAAAAGTCACTAAAAAGGGCTACTAACATTTGAAGTTTTATTGAATATCAGTAAGGTCCAATGACTACTAAAAAAAGATGTTTTATTTCCTTACAAGGAGAGGGCAGTAAACTAGGGCAATGAATTTCCAGGCTCAAGTACTGGAAGCTGCACTGAGTATTTTGAAAATCCCAAACGCAGGCACACACAGGGTGCCTGGCAAATCACATGGGCGGTACCTTTCCCCTAAGTTATCATCTAATCTACCCTAGCAAATGCCAAGAAGTTACCATTGGGTGGAAGGGTGGAATCCGTGGTTTTTTTTTTTTTTTTGGTCAGAAAGAAAAATTCCATTCTATCTTTGTTCTCAAAACATTTTTTTCCCCTTTATATATAGGTAAGGGTTTGTAGATCAATCATCTGGATTTCAGCATGAAATGACATTCTCTTCGCTTGAGTTCCTCTGAGTTATGCAGAAAGTCTCCTTTTAAGAATCTACTGTTCTTTCTTTCCGCTATGGTTTAATGTATGCTGAAGAAATGGGATATCACGAAAAACTTCAGTTTTTAATTCTGTCAAGATGTCCGGGTCAGAGAGGGATACAAATTAGGAAATGTGAAGGTTCATAGGTTTTATAGGAGGTCATTTTTTTGCCTCATTTTTTAGGGGTGCAGGGATGCACATAAAGGTGTCCTATAAACTTGCCTGCAGGTAGTTCCTGTGAAGACTTTTCACTAGGAAACTTCCATGGATAGTACCAAAGGCGTAAACGATTGGTAAACTGCTTCCCATACTCACATACACATTTACACCACGAGTTTCCTCCCTCTAACGGGTGGTAGTTGTGTAGACACAGGCTAGGGCTTGCAGGCTGGAAAAATGAAAGCGAGTAACTAACTCAATCCAAATAATGTGTATTCACAACCTACAATATACATTGTAGGCATGAGATGTGCCATGAAGGAGCTTAAGATGTGATGGATGGTGGGGGACCAGCAGTTAGCGTAATGGCTATCTCTCTGGACTCCCATGTAGTCGACCACGGTTTGAGTCCCGGACCCGGTGACTTAAACTCATGCCGGGCACATGTCCATGTGTGCCCAAGATCCTGGGAGTAGAATGGAGGAGAAGGGATTGCGGTGTGGTCATCCCCCCTGGGGGGTGATTTCTCGCTTTCTGTCTCTGTCTGGCAAGCGCACACGCCCTATAGCAAAAAAAAAAAAAGATGTGAGGGAGAGTGGGACCAGCAGGTGGCATGGTTGTTAAGGTGCTGGACTCCCACATGGCCAACTGTGGTTTGAATCCTGGACGTGGTGGGTTGCTTTCTTACTTTCTGTTTCTCTCTCTGGTCAAATTAAATACTACTAATAAATGAAATAAAATAATTCTTAAAAAAAAGGATGTGATGGACACTTCACCTTGCAGCATTCCATGATTCTGCTATCTACCTAAACAGTAACCTACTCTTTTTTTTTTTGGAGAGGTTTTTGCTATAGGATGTGTGCGCTCGCCAGACAGAGAGAGACAGAGATACAGAAAGCGAGAAATCACCCCCCAGGGGGGATGGCCACGCTGCAATCCCTTCTCCTCCATTCTCCTCTCGGGATCTTGGGCACACATGGACATGTGCCCGGCATGAGTTTAAGCCACCGGATCCAGGACTCGGCTACATGGGAGTTCAGCGACATAGCCATTACGCTAACTGCTGCTCCCTAACCTGCTCCATCTAACCGTGGCTTAGCTACCCAGGGGCCATTTCCTCTTCTACCTCCCCCGTGCTTTTTGTAGTGAGCCTCCAATTTTTGCCAGCTATTTAATCACGGGCAAAGCAAAGCAGGAAGTTGAAAAATTTTACACTTTGTAAAAACTAGTCAATGATTTATTTTGAAATATTTGAATAACTGTCTTATGTCGACTTTCTTTTCACCAGTAGAACAGCATTAACAGCGAGCTTGCAGATCCATGAGATGGAAGCCTCGGGCCTAGATCTTCAGACGGCATAATCATGTCCACGTTACACTGGGGACATTCCAGTTCCCTATCGTCGTCTGTTCCTTCTACATTTTTTCTTTTTAAATTTACTTTGAGAGAGAAAGACACACACACACACACACACACACACACACACACACACACACAGAGGGAAAGATGCATGCTCGCCAGGGTCTCTCCATGGGACGATTCCCCCCGGCCAGGATCATAGGTGCATCTGACCCTGCTCTGCCTGGTGTTTTAGGGCCCCCCGGGATGGAACCAGGCATGCACAAACACACACCTGGCCTGTCTCTCAAGCTACCAGGGCCAAGATGAGAACCAGCGCCGGCCATGTGGGAGTGGGCTCCTTTAACCACCACACTGCAAAAGCCCCAGGTCTAACACTTCTGAAAGCCCTCCCTTGCTTGATTCTTTTCTCACTGCGCCTCTCTCCTAAATGTTCAAGTGAGTTAAAATTCTGTCTACTTTTCAAGGCCATCTCGAAGAATCCTTTCGGTAGGAAACTGTTTCATCTCTCAAACCAATACACTTATTTTCTTCAGGCTCTTCCAGAGTCCTTCCTAAATTGTGTCTGACCTCACTTTTTGCTTCTCATTCCTTTTAGCAAGCGATGAGTGTTTTAAACATTATACACGTTTAAGGCTTTAAGACTTCAGAGAATGCTGAGGGTGAAAACCCACCTTCCTCTCTGTGCTTTTTTTCACTAATGTCCCAGGAAGAATGCTTTGCATTAAGAGTTGGTGGAGGGGGGACTAGCAGTTAGCGTAGTGGCTATGGCGCTGGACTCCCACATAGTCAACCCCAGTGGCTTAAAACTCAGGCCTGGCGTGTCGGAGGAGAAGGGATTGCGGTGTGGCCATCCCCCCTGGGGGGTGATTTCTTGCTTTCTGTCTCTCTGTCTCTCTCTGTCTGGCGAGCACACATGCCCTATGGCAAAAACCTCTCAAAAAAAAAAAATAGTTGGTGAATGGGTAGGACCAGCAGTTATGCTGGACTCCCACATAGTCGACCCCAGTGGCTTAAAACTCAGGCCTGGCCTGTCGGAGGAGAAGGGATTGCGGCGTGGCCATGCCCCCCTGGGGGTTGATTTCTCATTTTCTGTCTCTCTGTCTGGGAGTGCAGGCGCCCTATAGCAAAAACCTCTCAAAAAAAAAAAAAAAAAAGAAAAAAAAAAGAAAAAAGTGTATTTTGTCGTTGTTGGGAAAAAGTTCTTTTTTTTTTTTTTTATTGTACCTATCTCCATCAGATTCTGGAAAGAACCCCTCCTCTCTTTCACTATGAATATTCTGAATTGTATTTCTGACATTCCCTCAAATTCTTTTGTGCTTCTGTGGTTGAGTAAGAGTTATTCTTCTGTGGATGAGGGAGTATTGAGTAGTCTATTTTGAGTATAGTTGTCATACAATTTCACTTGTTTAGTTTGTATTTAGTTGTATAATATACATGTTTTTCCTTAGTAAATTTAATAAAACATATCTAAATGAGAAGGAGGACTATTCTTAGGATAATCTCATTTTTTTTCCTCATTTTCTTTTTTTTTTTAAAGATTTTTGCTATAGGGCACATGTGCTTGCCAGACCGACAGAGTTAAGAGTCTGGTGACCTGCCCTGGCTTCTACCCTGGTGTATTTATCCTTTAATGTGAGGTCACAGCGGACCTAACTTTAACACCGGAAAACCAGGCGGGGACACCAGCGATCA